AATATCCTTTTTTAAATTTGGCGAGGCCTACAAAGGTTTAATCCTCTTTGAACCAGATCACCCCCTACAAATTTTCCGGGACCCATTCCTTAATTCACCCGATAAAGCTTAATTCTCAAGTCTAACGACCAAATTATGCCGTCTCTAATCCGCGATAAAATACAATATGCTAATGATCACTCATGCTCTTGTTACTGGCCGACTTTTCTGGCAGACACTCTTACCAAAAGGCTGAACTTTTATTTCTCTGTCTTTATTCATTAGTTCCAAGCTATTTTTTATCATATTTTACTAGCTAAAAGGTTTTCGCCTAATTTTATAAGTACGTATACACTACAAGGCAGAGTATGGGGCTATCTCTACCAAAGGTTAAACAAAATTATGGGAGCTGACCTTTCTTTTTACTGGAGCGCAAATTTTTAAAGAAATTCCGTGCACTATTAAGCAAACGCCGAAAGCATAGAGACTTTGTGCAGCCGAAAAAGGCATTTTTTCTTATCGTAACTTTTAAAGACATTTCCTTGAAATTTTATAACATGTTAGGCTTTTTAAAATGTATTTTTGATTGTTTTTAGGGTTTTGGAATCTAATTTCGAATTAACTAATTTTAAGACGCAGGGCCCTTATGGAAACCAGCCCTTGAGCTAAATGGGCCACCCCGTTGACATAAAGTTTTACTTTACTTTACTTCACGTTGCCTTTATTCGGTAACGATCCTTTCAACACTCTCCCAAGCGAACGCTTTTTGGGAGTAGCCTGCCTGCAATCTTCTCCTATTTCCCTTGTTGCAAGCCAGATTGGGAGGACAGTGCTAGTGACTGACAACCGCGAGGCCATTACTGATCCCAATGGCGCCTATCATGCCACGGCCACGAAAGCGGCTGTAACTAGCGCGCTCGATATTTTAGTTTCCCAAAAACCTTAACCTCAGGCAAAACCTTCACCCAAAAAGAACATAACCTACTGTGGTTTCATTTTCAGTTAACAAGAATTATGAATTAATTCACGTCACTATAAGAATAAATTAAAACTACGATGCTATTTGGTGCGACTTCATTTCCAGCTTAAGAATTCTCACCGTTGCGAATCCTGACAAAAAAGAAAAAATACATCGGAATTAATTTTTACCTTGAAGCTCCAGTTATTCTTCATAGTGACGTGCTTTTGGTGTTCCCATACAGACTGTGAAAACGTTGACCCAGGTAAACGTTCACGTATTAGGGCACTTAAAACGCTCAAATTGATTCGCCTTCACGCCCAAACGAACGAAAAAAGATCACATTTATTTTGACTATATTTAACAATTATTCCACGAGTGCGCCCTGGATATGAGATGGTAGGTGGCAAACGAGATCTCACATCCACAAAATATAGAGAATTCTTCCCGACTTTATTTGTAAAAATAACCGATTTTCAGCTTGTTTTTAATTTTGAGCAGACTCGTACAGTTACCATATTTGGAGAGCATGGTATGATGGCTCATATACCATGATGGCTAAGCCAATCAGAGCTCTAGTATTGCATTATCCAATGATTCAGTTTTTAATAAAAGTGAATATCCATCGCGGCAATTTACTGACAATATTACCAATCTATCAATATTCTCCTACATATTTTAATGAATTTATATTAAAACGGGCAAACAACCACAAATTTTACGCGATATTCACTTATTCACTGGCAACAGGAAAGTCATGGTTACCGGTACTTCAGACTAATCCTGAGAATTATTAAAGTTCTTCATCCTAGAATAAGAGAAAGATGCAATTCAGAAATTGAACAGAACAAAAGCTATGTTTTAACTAGAAAAGAAAAGTATCTGAAAGAGGTCACTGTGTGCTGGCCTATGTTAGTAGAATATTAAAAAAACCAAAACAAAATGCAGAGCCATTTGAGAACAAAAAAGAACAAATACCAAACTTTTAGTTTCAATCAGGAGCAAGAGAGAATGAGGTCATGGGAACAAAATTCAAAAATGACCCTCGCAGCATGGCGCGAACTAAAAAAAGATTGAAAATAATCATCATGGGGCACAGGGATTCGCTCTCTTACCTCATTCTCTCTTGTCAGGAGGCAACAGCAAACTTTTGTTATAAAGTAGAGGGCAGGCGCGCCTCAAATGCAAA